TAACTCTTAGTTTGAGACCCTAAAAACATATAAACACAAATTAAACTTCTTACAATCTACCTTAGTAATATACCATTTAAAAAGATAAAAACAAAATAGGGGACAGCAGGTGGCAAAGCAGACTGCCAGGTCTGCGACTCGAACCGCTGGTTAAGGTGCTGGACTAGCACATGGCCGGCCACGATTCGAGTCCTGCACCTGACAGCTTGCTTTCTCCTCTCTGTCTGGTGAGCACACGTGCCCTACAGCCAACTTAGAAAAATAATCAAAAATTCTTAAAAAGACAAAAAATAGGGCAGGCAGGTGGCATGACAGTTACAGGTGCTAGACTCCCATATGGCCAACTACAGTTCGAGTCCCGGATCTGGTGACTTGCTTTCTCCTCTCTGTCTGGTGAGCACACGTGCCCTACAGCCAACTTAGAAAAATAATCAAAAATTCTTAAAAAGACAAAAAATAAATACTAAAAAGATCTTCTCTACTTGTTAACAAGTCTGAACCATAAAAATTCAAGGGCCCAGAGAAATACATATTTGCCTAATTTTGGGGCCAGTGGGTGCCCGAGAGGTTGAGGGAGCAGGATTCCCACATGGCTGACTGCAGTTCAAATTCCACACCTGGCGGCTTGAAAAGTTGTGTGTGGCTCAACATATCAGGTTTTTTTTGGAGGATATATTTAAACTATAGCAGATGTCTCTGTAGAGAACATCCAGGCCTTGACAGGCCTCCACAGCCTGCCTTGGTAGAGAAGTCTAAAGTCTTAGAGAATTTGGCCTTTTAATTTTGTTTTAAAATGTTGCTATAGGCTGCATGCGCTTGCTGGAGACAGAAACAGAAAGAAAGAGAGAGGAAGGAAGGAAGAAAGGAAGGAAGGAAGAGAGAGAGAGAGAAAGGAAGGAAGGAAGGAAGGGAGGGAGGGAGGGAGGGAAGAAGGGAGGAAGGAAGAAAAAGTAAATGATGTGGGACCAGCAGGTGGCGTGGTGGTTAAGGCGCTGGACACTCCCACATGGCCAACCACGATTTTTGTCCTGGACCTGGTGGCTTGCTTTCTCACTGTCTGTCTCTGTCTCTCTCCTTGGTCAAATTAAAATGAATGAATGAATAAACAGTATATATTAAAGAAAAAAGATACTATTAAATAAAAAGTGAGAAAGCACCCTCCAGAGGGATGGCCACACCAGTCCCCTCTCCCTCCGTTCCCCTCTTGGGATTTTGAGCCACTGTAACTGGATGAAGAGAGTGAGGATTTGACCTAATTATGGTGTCAAAAAGGCAAAGCTCTTGGGGTCAGCAGGTGGGACAGAGGCTAAGGTGGCTGGAGCCCACAGAGCAGACTGCACGGTCCGACCCAGACCTGCCGGCTGGAGAAACACGCCTGGATGCTTGCATGCCAAAGCCCATTCTCCTGAGAACACACGTGGCCATTCCGCCGGGGGGTGACTGCGCACTCTCTCTGCCTCTCCGGTAAGCACACGCACCGTAAAGCAACACTAGAAACACCATTAAGCCATGAGCTGCGTATACCTGTATTTTTACACATCACCCCGATTCAGGTGTCTTCTGTTCTTAGTCACAAATGGACCAGAACATCTGAAATGTCCCTAAAAGAGCAAGAGACCTGTAGTTGGAGGACCCCCGTTGGAGTACCAGTGATGTCACGTTCTCACTTGGGCGAGTCACAGATCATGAGTCCGATTCCTCATCTACGTAACGACCTACGAAATCCATCGCAGAAGTGTCGAGAGGCTGCCACGAGATGAGTGTACAACAGGAGTCACTATCTGCAGCTTTAACTAGGGTGTGAAAGTCCGGGCCGGTTGTGTCTCTAGGCCCTAGAGTTGAAATACGGGAGCCCTGGGAACCAGAGAAGAAAACCAGGTAGCACAGGGAGCGCATGGGCCGGGCCACGAGAGAGAGGAGGGGAGGAAGCTCCGGCTAGGTAAGGGGCCTCCTGGCTGAGTTTCTAGGAGAAAGAAGGCAGCCCCTGACCTCGCTGTCCTGGAGGGCAGGGGTAGGGCTGGGCAGCTGAGGGTTTGTGCTTCAATTGTAGAGCACGGAGAAATGCCGCCATCTGTCAGTTCTCCTTTTGGCGTTTTCTAGCAAGGGCGCCTGCTCATTTGTTGTGTTACTCAAGGAAAGGAAGTAAGGTGTAGACGCAGAGGTGGGACAGAGATGTGAGTGGTACATCACTCTGACTTCAGTGTTCAAGGAGGAAATCAAGAAAAAGAGAAATTAGGCAACTTTGTAAGCTTCCTGTCCCTAAGAAGCCAACCACAGGGGCTGGCAGGTGGCATGGTGGTGAAAGGTGCTGGACTCCCACATGGCTGACAGTGGTTCGAGTCCTGGACTTGGCGGCTTGCTTTCTTACTTTCCCTTTCTTTCTCTATCTCTCTCTTGTCAAATTAATAATAATAATAACAAATAGAATTCAATAAATAATTCTCTTTTTTTGAGAGAGATTTTTGCTATAGGGCTCGTATGCTCACCAGAAAAAAGCAGAGAGAGACAGAGAGACAGAAAGCGAGAAATCACCCACGGGGATGGCCACACTGTAATCCCTTCTCCTCCATTCTCCTCTCGGGATCTTGGGCACGGACACACATGTGCCAGGTGTGAGTTTAAGTCACCAGATCCAGGACTTGAAACACAGTTGACTACATGGGAGTCCAGCAACATAGCCATTATGCCATCTACTGGTTCCCAATAAATAATTCCTTATTTATTTTCAAAGAATTATTTAACATTATTTATTTTAATTTTGACCAGAGAGGGACACAGTGAGAGAGAGTATGATAGAGAAGGAAAGTAAGAAAGTAAGTCACCAGGTCCAGGACTTGAACCGTGGTAGGCCATATGGGAGTCCAGTGCCCTTACCCACCACGCTACCTGCTGGCCCCCAATAATTCCTTAAAAAAAAA